CTCATTTGTTTAATCCTTTTTATAATTCAAAAGAGATTGGTTTAAGATACAATTTAACCCTATATAGATTGTGTCCTGTCTTATTAACGTAATTGTCTTTAATCCTGCCTCATTAGCATCGTAGCAATTAGGATTTATAGCATACAGAATCATTACATCAGAAGACAAAATTGAGGATGATTACATAATCCTTAGACTCATGGCCTTGCCATGTTGACACATATTTTGGAAAGAATTACAGAGAATGGACTGTAAACACTGTTAAATACTGTAAGAGGTCATGACAACTCTATTTGGCTAAATCAATTGTGGAAGAATAAACCTTGAAGTTCAAAGGTGGTTGGTTGGTCAACTGAATTTGCATTCCCAGAAATGGCAAATTTTGACACTGAGTTTTAAAACTGGCAGCATTCTTTGCAGTACTTTGTAACTTTACAAAGTCCATCCCTGTACCCACTTTCTCAACTGTTCTTACTTTCTGTGGTAGGAACTTTTTTTCTTTCTTTTTTGTTTTCCATAATTTCCAGGGACGAGACATTAATTCAACTTCTTTTCTAAGAGGGAGGTGGCTGGCCTGGTCTTAATCAGTATCAGAAGATCTAATTGGATTCAAACCAGGTGTCTGGGCTGGGTTAATTCCAGCCTGGGTCAAGTGATTGAGGAGCAGATGTTTTTTCAGTTTGTGTGCTATTTTGTGGTTGTGTGGCTGACTTCTGCCTCAGATGGTATGTATGCTTTTCTTAAGCTCAATTTGCAAGGCATTTGACATCTTGGTCTAGAGTTGTAATGGAATTATTTTTTCCTTGATTGAAAAATTTCAAATTTCTTGGCCCAATGATTTTCATTCGATAAGGACTTAGTAAATATTTAATGATGATTCTGCTCTCTCAGGTGGGTGATTACCAGTTTAACTTTCGTTTTCTGTGCTGGGAGAGGGAACCAAAAAATCCAATTTTGAATTTCTGAGAGAGGCCTTGTCTGTTATAAACTCCAGGACTGATATTTGAAAAATGGATTGTTTCTTTAAAAAGGAGTGGCTAATTTGTGGCTTAATTTGAGTGAGATTCCTGTTATCATTGTGGAAATAAAATTGGAGATTTGGGGGAAATGAGACACACGGATATGAAAGAATCCAAGAAGGAATCAGAATCAACTCAGCAAAATAGACACTTGGATTGGAACCTAATAGGGCCTTTTCACAGTACATTATACATCAAGTCAATCTGTTTTCTCTTTCCTTCCAGTGGAGAACTGTCCAGAACTTCCCTCTGTGGACAATAGCATTTTTGTTGTAAAGGAGGTGAAAGGACAGATTCTGGGAACTTATCTCTGTCTCAATGGTTACCATATGGTAGGCAAGGACACCCTTTTTTGCAATGCCTCCAAAGAGTGGGATGCCCCTACTCCCACATGCCGCTGTAAGTTTGTCTGCCTCTTTGCTCACTTTGTCATCTGCTATATTCTGTCATATCCTACCTACCATTCTCAGTGTTTAGCAGACCAATTTTTAAAAAAAAATTATTTTAGGACTTTACTTTTAAAGCACTGTAGCCACATAGCTTCTCTTTGAAGGTACATGGTCAGCTTTTGATCAGTACTACTTTAATCAAATTCATAGAATCAGTGTCCATATGGGAAAAAAATATTCCTCCCTCCCATCTATTAACACTCTTTATGTTGTTGTAATTTAAGCTTATTTCAATTTTGTTGACTCTCAGTGGCTTTAAAATGTTTTATACTATGGGAAATTTCAAGCATACAAAAATAGAAGAGTAAAATGGAACCTCTCTTAGCAAGTATGTGATCAACTCTTTTTTTTTAACGTTTTTATTGTGAGGTTTACATGGGAGAACATCTGCTTTACACTTATCCTATCATACTTGGCTACAATGCAATGATTACAGTTCCCTCCATGCATCATCAAATAACCAAAGGGTACACCACACAGGCACGCCCCCTGGCTGCCAGCACACATCCCGTCTCCCTCCCTGAGTCCAGTGTCCCCAGTGTCCCCAGCCGCTCCATCTGTCCACACATGATCAACTCTTGATCTGTATTAGTTTAATTGAATTTATAGAATCAACCATTCCTATGAGAAAGAGCTTTTTTTTTTTTTTTTGGCTTTAACTTCATTTCAATTTTGTTAAATTTCATATGAAAAAAATCTGTATTGTAGAAAATCTCAAGCATATGATACATAGACAGAAGAGTAAAGGAACTCATATTTACTCACCATTGAGCTTCACCACCTGACCAACCTTGTTTCATCTACACCCTCATTTGATTTTTGTAAATAAATTTATTTAAAAACAAAACAACAGTTTGTGTTTTAGACGAAAGTTTACACAACAAATTCGCTTCCCATTTAGCAATTTTTATACAGTGTGTTCCATGACATTGGTTACGTTTTCCACAATGTGTTGACATTCTTATTATTTCTATTTTTCTGTTCTGTGTTCATTAATCTAGCTTCCTTACCCCTCCTTGGCGTTGCGTCTTTGTTTTAGGGTAAATGTTGATGATTTGGTCTCACAGAGTTGGTTAATGTGAGAGTATAGTATTTATGGTTGTTTACTCTCTAGCTGCTCCTTGGAAACCCTATACAGGGTCCCAATGAGTCAAAACCGATTCAGTGTTACTTAGCAACAACAACAGCATTGTTTGCTTTAAAAACGAATCTCTTATTCGGATGATAGGTGACCACTTCATTTATTGTTTTGGAGTGAATAATTTATTTCATTCATCATACAACTTTTGAACTGAGAAAAATTTATGTTCTCAATTGACATATGTGACAACTGAGAACCAAGTGACTTGCTCAAGGTTGCAAAGTTCATTTGTGGGAGAATAAAGAGTCCATGTTCTCTCACTACTTTTTTTAAAATTGTGAATTTGAGTGACAGTTTACTTGGGAGAACATCAACCTTAACACTCATCCTTACATACTTCATTTCATTGCAATGATTATGATCTCCTTCATGCATCATCATTCAACAGTATTTGTTTCCATTCCTTCTGTTTTGTTTTAATGTACACCAAAACACTCAGGAATATACAATCATTCAAACACCCAAAGGGCATACCCTGCAAGTCTGCACCCTCAGTTGCCAGCACACAATCCCTCTCTCTCTCTCCCTAAGTCTAGAGTCCCCAGTGGCTCCATCTCTCCATGTCATCATCTCTGCCTCCATCTCTGGCATTGCTGCTTCCCACACTCCACTCCTGCTCTTCTCCCTTGATGATCCTAGGGTCCTCCACTCCTGGACTACAAGATCAGTCACTTTCCTCTTTTTGCTACAAAACTTCCACCTTTAGAGTTGCAACGATCACAATCAGTCATGGTAACAATTACTCACTATCGATCCACAAGAGTCTTTTCCCCATCTCCTTTCACCAGCCCCTTCTAGACAGGATGGAAACCACTCAGCTCTCACTACTTTTTTTTTTTTCTTTTTCTTTTTCTAAATAACTGGAATAGCTCTCCTTTATACCTTCTAGTATAAAGTACATGAATATTTTTATTTTTCATTCTTATGACTAAATTCACATCTCTATGGGTTTTCTCCTGTTTTTTTTTTTTTTTTTTTTCCTACATCATGGGTAAAACAAAACAAAACCATCAGCATTGGAATTTTAAGTAAGGCTTAGGTAGTAGGATAATGAATATGCTGCTGTTAATTTCCAGTTACACCTGTAACTGCTTTTAGTAAATTCAATTGCCAACTCATGTGATTGTTATGCATGACTCAGCACTTGTCTGCCATTCTTATGACAACCTAGTCTTTTCTCATGCTGCATTGATAGGGTTTAAACTATGTTGTTGTTGTTGAGTGCTGTTGGTTCTGACCCATAGCGACCCTGTATAGGGTTTCCAAGGAGCGGCTGGTGAGCTTGAACCACCGACCTTGCGGTTCAAACTGACTTTGCAGTCCAGCACATTAACCCATAGCGCCACACCAGGACTCCTGTCCATATTAAAGAGGTGCTGCTTTCAGTCTCATTCCCTGTACTCTCACTGAAGAACTCTCACTGAATGTCTGGCTTTCCCTGTGGCAGACATCAACCTAGCATTTTCAGATCACTGGCTGTCTTCTTTTTCAGTGGGACACTGTCCTGATCCTGAGCTGTTTAATGGTGAGTTCAGTTTCATGGGGCCTGTGAATGTCAACGACAACATCACGTTTCAGTGTGATGACAACTATATCCTCATGGGCAGCAGTTGGAGCCAGTGTCTAGAAGACCATTCCTGGGCACCTCCCTTTCCCATCTGCAAAAGTAGTAAGTGCAAGAATGCCAGAGTTACTGACTAGTATTGACTCCCTAGGCATTGGCCACAGCCTTGCAATTCTGTCTTGAGTTTCTTAGTGCTGATGTCACAGAAACTCTACAAATGAGTGACTTTAAAAACTAGAGATTGATTTATTTCCTCAGTCTAGGAGACTACAAGTGTGAATTCAGTGAGCCAACACAAAGAAAAGGTTTTCTCTGCCTGCTTTGAAGGACTATCCTCGTCTTGGCTTCTCTAGCATTATTCTAGACATTCCTTGGAGATCCCCAAGTGATATCCATTTGCTAACTGCAAGGTTGATGGTTCAAACCCATTAGTCACTTTTTAGAAACATTACACAGGGTCCCTATGAGTCTAAAATGACTTGATGACACTTAACAACAGCAACTACACATATACACACACAAATATTATCCGTACTCCAGTTATATTAAAACACCTGTCTACATCCATGGCTGGTAACAACATTGAGCATGCACATGAATGATTCTGTTGAATAGAGAGACATGTGACAGTGGATTATGTGGTAAATCATTTGCAAATCAGCCATAGATCTGCCTATGAAATAATCCATGACAGACTTGGGTTTCAAAAAGTTTGTATGATATGGGTACTATAATAACTCACAGAACAGCATAGACAGATGTGTTTGGACATCTACAAACAAAATTTGGACCCATACTCGAAGGAAGGTAAAAGTTTTCTTTTTAAAAAAAAAAAAAAATCATTACTGGTGATGAGACATAGATTCATCACTATGAGCCTGAGAGCAAACAGCAGAGTACGGAATGGAAATATCCTCAGTCACCGACCAAGAAAAAGTTCAAAAGTCAATTATCAGCTGGAAAATTGATGCTTACAGTTCTCTGGGATTCTCAAGGGCCAGTATTGGACCACTATGAGGAAAAAGGTTCAACAATCAGCAGTGCTCATTACAGTGAGATGTTCACTGAAGAGCTGAAGCCTAAATTTTGTATTAAACATAGAAGACTGCTATCCAAGGGCATTGTGATCCTGCATGCACATCCACACACCTCTGCCTATACTATTGACACTCTGCAAAAACTTTGTTTTGAGGTGTTAAAGCATCCTCCCTAGTCTTGATCTTACGTCATTAAACTCTTACCTGTTTGGTTCCCTGAAAGTAGCCCTTCAAGGACTAAGAGTCATCTCTGATGAAGAAGTGAAAACAGTGGTGCATTTGTGGCTCACAGTTCAGTCTAAAACATTTTAAATAAGGAAATACAGAAAGCTTGTTGACAGGTGGGCAAAGAGTATTAAAAGGCAAAGAAATTAAGTTGAAAAATGTGTTTTTCTTTTCTAAAAGTTGATTGAAATTAATTCTACAGTTAGTGTGAAGATAATTTTTGACTCACACTCTTTTATATATGTGTGTGTACATATATATGGAGTCCTTGTGTGTGCTGTAGGATAAGCACTGGACTGCAGCATATACAGGGTCGCTATGGGTAGGAACTAACTCAATGGAACTTGACCGGCGTTTAAAAACAACAGCAACAAACTTGGCAAAAGCATTTGCAAATACTGGTATTTGATGGCTGATCAATATAAGTATGTTTTAAATGTTACAATGAATCTATTATCCAACTATTTTGTGCATTAACCCTGCACATCTGGTAGAAATGGAAGTCTGAGGTATGAAGCAAAGGCCTGAGTTGGGGGCAGTGGCACAGTAGGCACAGTATTTGTTCATTTCTTCCAGGCCCTTTCTGTTTTACGCTCCTTTTTTTTTTTTTTTTTTTTTAAACTCTTCTTTAATTCAGTAGTTTGTGTTCTGATTCCCAACTTCAGGTTCCCTGTCTTTTTATGGTAATTCATTGTACAAATCTAGGATGATGAATATAAAAAAACCAAACCAAACCAGTTGCTGTTAATTTTGTTTGTTATTATTAAGTACCTTGGAGTTGGTTCCAGCTCACAGTGGCCCTGGATAGTGTTTCTGAGGAGCAGCTGGTGCGTTTGAACTACCAACCTTGTGGTTAGCAGTCCAGTGCTTATCTTACAGCTCCATGCCAGGCTCATTTTAGGTTCCTGAAAAAGAACTGGTTATTTTCTGTTTAGACCCAGCATATCCATCATCTCCTTCAGTTCAAAATTGTATGTTTACGTAAAGTCAACAGAACCCTGTCTGAACTGGTATTTCTTAATGAACTTTTAGAAATTGTTTTTCCTTTGCTCTATTCAGTTTTGAGTTCAGTCTTTGACCTCTCAAAATGAATTTATTAACTGCTAAAGTAACACATCAGCAGCCCTGGTGGTTAAGCACTTGGCCGCTAATAGGTCAGAAGTTTGAACCTTCCCAGTTGCTGTGTGGAAGAAAAGGTCTGGAAGATTGTTCCCATAAAGATTACAGGCTAGAAAACCCTATATGGGCATTTTTTCTCTGTTCTTCAGGGTTGTTACAAATTGGAATTGACTCATCAACACACAACAATAATAAAGCAATACATCTTTGTTGTAGAAAAATAAGAGGGGAAAGAAACTTCAAAAAATAATTAT